TTTATGAGCTCTTACCAAAAATGTTCCCAGCTGCTGTTTGTCACGAGATTTCCTGACCAACTATGCGCTATTTCATGTGCAATCACGCTCACCAGCGAACGATCACCAGCCTGAAAACAGAAAAGGAGATATTGACTTCATCGAGCGAAGGTAAGAGTTCACTGCTGAGTTGTTAATGAGTAAGTTATTATCAGAACCGGCAGGGATCAAGAAAATTTTGCTAAATCATTTTGCTTGATGAATAATTTACAGGGTTCCTTGAAGTCAGCCTTCAAAATACCGTGTGCGTAACTAATTTGAAAGATCTCTAGTCAGTCATTGAATAGTCACAGAGTCGAGACAATTCGGTTTGGTAGGAGGCGGCACCGAATGGCATTCAGCTAAGCCTGTGTAAGCCACCTTGCAGAAATATGTGAATTCCCGTGACCAACGTGATTCGCACTATTTTGAGCTAAAATGAGACCAGTTATTTGAAATGGACTAACGAAGGGATTAGTGAAAGTGCTAAATGCCCCTTCCAAGCCGATGCGCTCAAGTTATCCATCTTCTACAACTGGTGGAGGCGGTGAAAGTAATGGGTGTGTGTCAGGAGATCCGAGCTCTCTGTGGTGCAGCGAGGGCGGGTCGCAATTGACGTTGCGTGGATGGTGCAGACAAGACTGCGCTGTAGTTTTGACTTCTGCAGGTACTGGTGCCTGCCAGGGGGTGCAGAGAGTTCTGTGTGGCGCCTCCACCTGTTGTAGAAGATGGAAAGCAACTGTAGCTGGTGGATAACGCGACACCGTGTCAACCCCCCCTCCCTTGAAACTCCCCAGCATAAGCAGCTAATACGACTGGATGATCCATCGAGTCATTGTGCAACCTTCTCTGTGCTCGCCGTCGAAACTTGGACTTCGTGGCCCGCACCCGAGTGCCGTGGGCACAATGAGGTACAGTTCCTCATCATTGCGGACCGGTGGGGCGTGTCAGCCAGTATGAGTGTGCACACTGTTGAAGCCGTTCTCAGCCTTTTTGTTGAAACGCGTATGCGACAAAAAGTGGTAGAAAACGAGTAATACGAAGGATATAATACAGTAATGTCACTTGCCCGCTTCAACAACTGGTGCAGAACGACTTTGGCACCGCGCCAAACGCAGCCGCACTGACACGCCCCACCGGTCCGCAATGATGAGGACTGTCGGTGGGTATGCCACTGGCAACGGCACCAACAATAAGCTCGTGGTGGGCTGAACCATTTTTTTACGTGGGATATGGTAATACACCAAATGACGGCTGGCGTGGAACCTTAAGGGCTAGGCATTCGCACACCTGGTTGTATGAAGTCCTCCCTGAAATGAGGCGGGCATTTCCAGTGGAAACCAGGGGATGTTCGAGAGTGATGAAGTAGGCTTTACCCTAGCCATGGTTACCACTTCAGAATCGTTGTGTGGTGGGCTCATATTCGCT